TATATATAGTAATAGCTATTTTTCAAGGTTGTTGTTGTGAAGCTTACGCCAGTCTGTTGCCGTTATGTCCATCTACTTAGTATCACTCGAGTCGAAGTGCTTTTCTAGGTGATTGATTTTGGTCGCGCCTGTGGATCTCTATGCGTCTACGCCATATCGGCTCGAGCGGGACATATCTTCGCAGCAACTAGCCTCTACTAGCAGCGTCTCCGATAAGATCTAGAAGAAGAAACACTGGGAGGTACTCTGAAGTATCGAATTAGAAAATAAAAACAGCAGTACTGGCTATTATTAGCTTAATGATGGTACGACTTCTAAAACTACCACTAATAGCACGATAGTTTATTTCATCTGTTTCGTCCGCCGCCTTGCGGATGTAGTGCGACTTACGGCGCTCCCTGTTGTCCTGATTGCCGCAGTTGTTATTGTGGACAGTTGTTCGCAGCTTTGTTATGTTCATGTTTCTTCTTGGGTTTCGGTCCTGCTCGCTCAGGTTCCATAATACGAAGCTAACAAACTAATTGGTAACGCTGAAGCTTCCGTACTAAGGCCCGAAATCTACCCGTACTGTGCTCAGTTACCGTTCAACTACGGCTCGTACATCTATCTTGATAATCGATGGTACGTTTTTGACATGGCAGCGAGACCTATTATAGTTGTAGTTACCGGTGAAAGAGGTCTGACATGTATCTATACACTCGGCAGCTAGCCTACCTCTCTTCTCTATTGTTCGTTAGCTTTGTCGCTTGATCTACTTAGAACGGTATAATAACCGTTCACACAATTGCACCGCAGCTTAATTTAACATTTATTTTTCTAAACTATTTTTCTGTTTCCAGCACGCTGATTTCGCTGGTCGCACTTTGTTCACGCGCTTGGCCTGTTTCTGCCCGCGTTGGTTCCCTTACATCTAAGAACGTCGCATCCTAGTTTCATTAACATATTTTCTAGTGTTAACATCGCACTACGGTCTTCCGCGTATGCTATTACCGTTACTATTGTTATCAATGACATTGGCTTAATCGTTGTCAGTAATTTGTTTGCTTATCTAACGCCACTATAGATATAAATATCTATATGGATAACGTATAGGGAGTGATAACAAGCAAGTTGACGTCACGTCGCAGGGTGTAGTAGCGCATTACGCCGAGCAGCTGTTGCGTATTCCAGCGGTAGTCCGCTGCGCAACCGCGGACTGGGTTCCTCGCGGCTTTTTCTGGCACGCCAGTGACGCCCCGCGCCCTTAAATTTGGCGCTGCTGGCAGCGTTAGCGTTTTTTTACCTATTTTGTCTTGAACAACTGCCCGCTTGGTGGTTCCTCTCGCACCTCGTTTGCAGTCTCTTCCATCTTATAGTTGTCTGTTGCGGTTTACCTCCCGGCCCTTCCTCCTCGCAAGCGTCCCCAGGGGTTTCGATTTCCACTACCACGCACTTCGGCCGATCTAAGCCAGAGCCAAATGCTCCTGTCAACTCGTTGTCCGTGTGACCGCTTCCTTGTTGGTGTCTACCGATCATCATTGCACACCAGACGACGGTACGATAACGGCCAGACACTAAATGACGAACGTTTCGTTTCTATATCTCCGTCACTGCGGGCGACATCGTCGTCGTAAGCGAAAAACGATGACGAAATAAAGGAAAGAAGCGATAACAACTCTAAATATCGCCATCGTGGCAATGACGAGAAATTTTTTAGCTGAACTAAACTGAATTTTCACTTCATTATTATATTTCAATTTATATATTTCAATTGCAATTATATTCATTTTGGTTTCTCTCCTAATATTTTTTTTTCGAAGAGGCGAGCCACGAACAGACACAGGACAGAGCAGGTAACTGACCGAATCGACAGATGCGTGTTGACGTACTACGAGAGTGAAAACAATATATACTAAAACAAGCTAAAACGTATATAAAATATTGATATATGTATGCGGTAGAAAGAAAAAGGAAGCGACTGGTCCCGAGCGACCAACGACGGAAAAAATAAGCATGCCTATACAGTAAGTAATGTTTAGCACGACTGTAGGTATGCGGGAACTACTGGCCTGAACAAGAAATATGAATGATTGCGCAAGAACCTTTCAAAGTCTTACTATATGCAATAACGTGTTATTATACAGTGCCGGAATATAAAAGCGGACGATTTCCATAGTGATTAGTATGCCTGATGTTAACGCGATGATTAGTGGTAGATAGCGACAACTATGTCGAGAAGTAACGATCGCATTAGGTCTGCGATTCCATTACAAATCCGTTAGTCGAGAGGTGGGCGTCTGATGCTTTCTTGTACTCTGGATACGTGACTCAGAAGAGAGCTTTTTGTTACGTCTATCACTCCTATGGTAAGCCGTCGTTGTTTTCTCTAAACAGAACCAACTATTTTTTCCAATGATCAATTTTCATAATATGCAAATAGATTTTCGTTACGAAAACGTATTGTTGGCTTAAAAGGCTAATTGTATTAAAGAATAACACAGCTGGTTCGGCTGCGACCTTGACGGAGTAGGTCCTGCTAATTACAGGACATGTGTTCGAAACCCCAGAACCTTTTCTCAAACAGATGGCTGGCCTACGGGACCGACTACTCCACCGATTGACGACTTGTTTGATTTCCTCCCATCTAGGCGTTTGCGGATTTACAAAAAAAATCAAATTAAAGTACCAAACATAATTCGTCCAGCAAAATAGCTGCTCTTCCTGTTTTGGCCGCCAGAACAAAGTGTATGAAGCACTATGTAAACTGAAGACCCATCACGTCGACATACAAATTCTCACCGGTTCGTGTGAGGCGTCGCTCCAAATAAGGCCCAGCTTAGGTTCTTCGCTCTACGGCGTGCAGAAAAAGGCGAGTGTGAAATATATAACCGCACGAGAACCTACCAATATGGGCCTCTATGCCACAGACCTGGTTACGCATATGCTGCATTCGTGGAGATGAACGTAGGCCAATAGGGTGGCCTGCACAAAAAAGGAACATGGGAATATTCTCGTATATCCCGACAGACGTTCGCAGAGAGTTCATTGGAAATATTAAATTGTCTCTCTCATCACACAGGGCATGCTGTCTGAATCGAATACGCGGAGACGCGGTGCTCTCGATGAACGACCAGATGGGAACAATGGATTAAATTGTAAATTAAGAACTGTGCGACGTGGAAATCGTTGTTGAAAAGTATACCTGCGTGCTTCCGCGCGGTAGCGCATGGCGGTTGTCCAGTCAGCTAACGCTCTTTACCGCACGCCTATCGTCGCAAGAACGTGTGCGACATGCGCCATTCATAAATTGGAATCATATCAGCCTCTACGGACTACCATTAATAAAAGCGTGGTCTTAAAATAATACACACAAACCTTTACTCGCCTTTGTTCCGGTTACCCTTCTCTCGCTAAATTACGAGTATGTAAAAGCAGAAAACGACCCAATCGTTCATAACAACGTGAAAAAATCCAACCACAGAATGATGACCAAAAACGACAAATACTATTATAGTTACCTATATAAGGGATACTCTTCGACTGAAATTGTATTAGCACCATCACTGGTATTAGAATATATATATATGGCAGCATGAGAAGCGACTAGATGAAAGATTACATTAGGTAGGTGCTAGGGTGAAACGAAGCCTAACAGAAACATGGCCCGTTTTGGGTTGTATTCATAATTAGTGTGTCATCGATTGCCACTAGGTACAATATTTTTTAAAAGTACTATTGATATTCTACTTTTGAAAAGGTATTCATTCAAATCACACTTGTATAGTGGAGCGTAGAATGCCCATTTTTTTCCAGCCAGGATGGCGCCCAGATAGTATTTAGTGTATAGTAACTGATTCTAAAGGCTGACAACAGTATTATTAAGACAGGTCATTGACACTGTTACTGGGGCGGGCGGTGTTGCTATGATCTCATTCGGATCGTCCTGTTTCGAGTATCCTTTTCCTGATAAGCAAATATTGAAGGATTTTCTGTAAAAACAAAGGCTCTCGCTGTCCAACATTTAGCTGATCTATTTAATCGACATAATGATTTTATGCATATTTAAAGCAAATTGAAATAAGGCTCGATGGTTATCTGCATCATTTACGTAAAAAATACGGGCTGTCAGTGGGGATCGTGCAGAAGAGGACTCCTGCCTATTGAGGTCGTGGGGTTAAGCCGACGCAATATATTTATAAGGGCAGAAAAAAATGCTGATTTGGTACAGAAATTCCTATTGCGGCCCACACAAGCATCTTCGTAATTGATACGCATCTCCATGGTGGTTTAATTAGCCGTCGCTTGTAGAAATGTTATAGTCTCTCCCGCACCTTTATCAGATAAATTTTACTGCGTCAACACATAATAGACACTTAAGCGTATATATCAAAAGTTCTGTAGCCAGCAGCGCCGCAAGAATTCTGGCATTGGAGTTGGAAGCCTCAATATAAAAGTACTTGTAAAAAATAAGCGTAGTTATGTAAGCTTTCTTTAAAAATGTTCATTGGTCACGAATTCCTTTTCCTGAGTCACTCGTATTTACAAAAGGGTTTCGATATCTTCTGTAACACATCGGTTTGTTAGCTTGAGTAAACCGCGTGCATGTGGACGAAAACAAAACGACTTAACAGAGACCGACTGGTACCGGAAGACAGGCCATCGCTTAGATGGCTACCAAAAAAGTGCAGAACACTAATATCTTATCTAATATCCGATTTACATGTACATTCATCGGTGTCGGAATAATCGTTTCTCTGCGCTATTCAGGAGGCGAACGTTTTCAAGGCGCTACTCATAGGTCCTAACGATTAAGCGAAGCTTCGATTCATACGCCCAGCCGGTATCATCTTTCGACTCCAAATACTTGAAAAACGTATCGATTTACTGATCCACATGTATGCCTGTACGTATTAGGATTGTCTATATGAACCAGTGCAGACTTAAATACACGTAGGGCACGCGGTCGTATCTGTGGGCATATTCATATATGCCACGAATATTTACGGCGGTGTTTTCTTCGCTGGCTTGTCTGCCCGCCCAGCCGCCAGCTCGCTCGTTCAATTCCTCCCGCGTTCGATCTTTATGTCGGCCGCGTGGTCCATTCGTCCGTCGCCCTGGATTACTGATTCTGTTTCTTTTTGGGCCCCACTTCGCTGCATTGTCCCCCTGTCAACGACTGGTTGTTGTGCGCGACCCGCGCATGGCGGCCCGACAGTTCGGCAGAACTAGGCAATGGCGATAGCAGCGGTAGCAATCGGCAAGGTGTAGTCTAGTTGTTGTTTCGTTGCCGGTGCCAGCGTCGACTACCTCATCGTTGCGTATATCGCCGTCTGGATCTGTTTAGCGTTCTCTCCAGTGCTGCCAGCTTGATGATGTTGTTGCTGCTGCTGCTGCTGCTGCTTTCCGATAGGCTGCTCGTCAGATTCATACCGATGCGACGGGACGGGCGGACGGTCGCTATGAAACACCAGGTGGTACCAAGGTGATCTGTTCTCTGCTACGAATATTGCGACAACAGACGCCACTGTTATTGAGCGTCAACGGCGTTGTCGCGGTTGTAGTCGCGTTTCGTGCAGAATGGTCGAAAGCGACAGCGAGAATTCTGTCGATTTCTGCCGACGATTGCCATAGCAGTAGACGACCGCGAAGTCACAAAAAATAGAAGTTCTCCTGCCGAAGTTCTGCCATACGCGTTCTTCTCATTCAGCTGACATATTTACTGCGTGCTCACACTCGAACATTGCCACTATGAGTGAGTTGGTTACGATTATGTTTTCCTAGGCCAGGAGACGTATCATCAGTTGATTTCTCGTTTCCACATATGTATATGACATATGCTTGCTATAATAGACGCGCTGAAAATGAACAAATGTAACATTTTAAGGGGACATCCAGAAAAATAGGTAACAAAGACGTCGCAGCGTATCTGGGGATCGTTTATTTGTTGTATTAATTAATAATTAATATTATCTCAGTTTGTACTAACTACTTTTTTGCTCGCAGTGTTTTCTATGTGTAGTGTAACAAAAAGAAGACCTCAGTGCGAAAATACGGTGAGACGACCATATCCCCAAATATAATTTGAAATAATGCCAACAACAAAGGCTACAGCCAGCGACAATCTTCTGTAGCCATTTACGAGACAAAGAAGAGTTACACATTGACAGACCAATAACGTGTACTATATACGTCAAATATAAGCGTTGGTTCCAAATCATAAGATATTGATCTGGACAATGAAAGCATGGTTTTTCCTTGAACCTCCAGTTTGACCCTTTGAGTAAGACACAAATTGGGCTTCTCTGACATGATTTCCTGTCTGTACATGCTATCCTCTTATAGCTAGCAGTTTTAGTTGAGCCTCGGCCACGGGAGTTCGTCGTAGGGAAGACACTTTAGCCAGCGTGGTTGGGATTGTTATGAGCGTACTACTACTGGTAACAGTCCTGTAGTAAATAGAAGTGCCACCGAAAGGGTTACGCGATCCGATGAGACACTTGTTGGCAGAGGGCTGACTAGACTGCCGCGAGGCACCGACCTTGGGCTCTTTTTGAGCTTATTTTGTGATGACCGTTGAAGATAGCCACAGGGGATCATCACACAAACGTGGCGTATTCTTAATCATTCGATTTAGCACCGTAGCGTGATCATGACAGCATGGTCGTGCATGCATACCTGACTCCTTTCGCATCGGGAAGTGTTTTCCGTACCCCCATACAAGAGCCGAATTGGATTAGCAACCATCGCAGCGCTTAATGACTCCTGTCTGAGGCTAAGTTGCCACATACGGAGACGCCTATTGCCCAGTTTGTATGTTCTTAGTTCAGCTTGCACTTGAAAAAAATAGCCAAGGGAGCTGAAGGTTACCGCAGTACAAAGAGGGGATGCGAGACAAGCTGGGGTGCTCGATCCAACGCTTTTGATATATTGTCAAGAATCTTTAATGAGCGTCGATCATCGCATAAACATATTTGCATATAATGAAAGTTATATATAGAAAGCATTGACAGCAAGCCTAAAATAGAGAATGAGGGTAAAGATAAAAAAAAGTAGTAACGAAGTATCTCGATGATACGGACTATGAAGTCGAACTTGTAATATATGCGGATTGTGTAAAAAGCAACAATAACTACATAGAATTGGATATTATGCCTACTTCCCTTAAAGTACATCAGCCCAAAATTAACAGCATTTCTATATTAAATAATTGCGAACGTTAAAATGTTACATATAGAATACTGTTTCTGGGGTATAACTGGGCGAATGCGGACTCTCCAGCAAAAGCTATATGTATTCTTTGTATTGCTTTTGTTCTCGTTTGGCATTTGTTTCAATATCCACAAAATGTCTGCTCTTGAACGAGTTTAAAGCGTTTTTTTTTTTAGAACAATTTAGACAATTTCACAATGACGTATTTGACTGTAGATTTCGATATGATAGCCCTTTTTTTTTTATAATAGCTTCTAATCAGGCAGACGGGTTACAGCTGAGAAAGAACAAAAACTGAAAGATTTCTCGGTTAGAAATAAGACTCATAAATAGGGCGCACCTCAGCTTTTTCAAATTAAATCATACTACCTGTCCGTTTTGGGCACGCTGTCGTGTATGAGTCATTGCTATACTAGCAATTACTATAAAAAACTGCCTCTAAACTATACATACATATAGTGCGAGTGGTTAGGTAAAAACTCAAAAGGTACTGGCCATGTTTTCACAAAATTCTAGATACTTCTTTACAACTAAAGCAGACAATCTCGGTTGTATATTTACGAAGTGAAAACGCATGACAAAAATAGTGCCAGGTATTGTAATGCCTGTGGCACACGAAATCGTAACAGCCATCTTGAAACAAACAAAAGCTGAATAATCACCAGCTTATCTGATTATCCTGTGAAATTATCCGGCCAGATGCCAATGGGAAGATATTCAGTCGCTCTCCAAACGATGTCATCATCCTAGTCCACTACAGAATAAATACTGATCCTTATTGAAAACGATTCTTCCGAGTAGCATTTAATTTTTGTGCGAAGGAACTGATCAACGCACTCAGCTCGGAGTGTGAAGATTATCCGATGCAGATGGCATATCATTATGAGGCACCTCAGAAGTTCACTGCTCCGCTGGCCTTATTACAAAAACTAAAATAAAGGTGGTCCAAGTGTGTATACTATAATATTTATGTACTGGACATTAATCAGTATAAGACAAATTAATTGCACCAGTTTAGTTGCTTGAAGTGGTCTCAATAGGTATTTCAGGCCTATCTTTTAGGCTACTAAATGAAGTGTATCTACGCGACTGTTCGCGTAGGCCGTCCGAGAAGGCCTGCAGCTGAAATTGCTACCATGAGCACAGGCTTAAAGCGAGAACACAAGTGAAAGACAAAGAAAAAAATATATATATACGCGTTGCACTTCAATTATAAACATAGTGTGTCGTACTGTACAGCATTAGATTAGAAACAACATGGACACACAGAAAATAATTCGGCAACGCGTTACTATAGATATCACTAAAAACTTAAAAAGTCAACAATCAAAGTGTCTAAGATTACAGCCAAATTTATAGGTATCGTGCAAAATAATTATTTGAATTATGAATGAAGAGCGTACTGCATCGAAAAGTATTTCTGCTCAGATGTCTATTGAAGCGGTTCGTAGATGCTGCATCTCTATGAATTACACCTATATGTATTTATAAGTATACGATTCGTACGAATGGTTCGTTTTTTGATGAGTCGTCATGTTTGACCTACGCAGCACGTATATTTACAGAGATTGGTAGACAACTGCATAACAGTGGAATCAAAGATATGTTTACTTTTGGCGGAGAAATCGACTAGGAGTTAGGATGCTGTTAGTGTCTTTCATGAACCTCATATTGCCTGGAACATCATAATATGAACAATATTATGTTTGTTTAGCCCTTTTTTGATGATTCCTGTCGTACTCAATATGTTGAATGCATCGTGTACGTACTACGCACTCGATTTGCGTCTGTGCATTGCTGAACTATGGCATATTTAGCGTCTGTTAAGTGGTGTGCATATCTGTAGCCAAACAAACATAACCGGTGGGCAATAGTGGTTAGAGTGCTGTCTGATTTTAAATTAGTTTCCAGTTCCGCTGTTGGTAGGTAGTAGCATCCATATCTGTACCAGCTACCCCTATCATTGGGTGCAAGCTTTTTTCTAAGTAGGAAGAGGAGCGCCGCGCGGTGCGGTGACTCAACTCGCTTCCGTTTGCCTCGGCGTGGGGGAGCAGCGTCGGCAAAACTCTTCTGGGTGAGGGTTGCGTAGCCGCTTGCCGTGTTGGGAAAGAGTGCGAAGTGAACAAGGGTAGTCGTAACAGCAGTCGTCGGAGTTCGTAAGGTTTATGCGGGCAAGCAATATTATTAGGAGCCTCTGCGACGGTTAGCGGCGGGCGAGCATGGCCGGCACGTGTGGAGAGAAGGGCGACGGCTGGAATGGGTGAGGGCTATTGTGCTGCCCTCTCCTAGCCGGCACACGGCGGGAAAGCAGTCGCGGCAGTGCTGGCCGCGTGGAGCACGATATAGTGAATACACTTTAGCAGTTTGGACTCAGTTGCAACTCGGTGCTCGTTGTTCCTGTTACTCGATCGGCGGCTACTCTTTACGCGACCAATCCCGCTCAGTTTAGCCTGAGTCCCCTCCGAGGGCGGAGCGCCGGCAGGAAGCCGGCAGCCAGTTGCAACAACAAGCAACTGCCTGTCCTAAGTAAAACACAGTGTGGCAAGCGTCCTCCTACCAGCACAGCCCTATACCACAGTAAATTTCCGCTGTGCCCCGCTAGCAGAGCTGGTGTAGTTTTCTCAAGCAAGCCGTTCGCGAACGACACCAGCAATATACAGTAATAATGGAACAGATAAACAAATAGGAACATTACTTGACACCTCAATAAGACTAATACAATCGCAATCATCCAGGAACGTGTGTAATTTTTTGACATATAGTTGGTAGACGGGAGTGAGTAGATCAACTAGTCCCTGACTATACTCTAGCCGCTCACCATCTTCATCTGCCGACCGATTTCACCTGGTGATAACTGGTTACCTAATATTATTATGTGAATGTGTGTATATGCTTCGTCGTCAACGTTTCGACGTCCGCCGTTTACTTATAAATTATCACTGTATGAATTTACAATAATTGTGTACAGCAGTCGTCATCGCCAACCGTATCAGCGTGTGTCATCGTAAAAGTCATAAGAAGAAACAGATACGAACAGCGGGCAAAGACGATGTATCGTGACAAAATGCCCTCTGTGTTCCTCATTCATCACTGAATATCTATCGGTGCCCAGCATCCGCGAATCTTCTGAAGGAATTTGTCAAATCAGAAACTCGACCGCAAGCTTGCAATTGGGTGCCTCGCTATAGATTTTCGTCGGTGCGTGAGAATCGCAAGAGTTGATCGGACTGAATTCACGTGAAGCCGTCCCTAGTTAACCCCGACGGACATAATGACCGCGGTAGCACAGCGTGTTGTGTCATTCGCTATCGCTAACAAGACAATACCATTTGGATTGATGCCAACAAATCAAGCGGACCCGAATGTGCGAACTCTCATTCAAGCAGTTGCCGGACGCGCTATCGGTGGACAGCAGATCGTACAATTTGACACCGCCGGAGACTGCTGCGTGCCGACCGGCTGTAAGGCGCCGCTGTCTACCGATGACCTGTCGAACGCCGTACGAGTTGTCTGCACCAACACGGACTGTCGTGCTGAGTACATGCACCGCGAGTGCTTCGAACAATGGCAGAGCTCGCTGCTCGGATGCCTGCCGAAAACTGCGGGAGGCCGAAACTGGACAGAGAAGCAGAGACTTCAATATATCTGGTCGAAAAAAGCGTCGAATTATATTGTTAAGGCGTGCGCGTGCAAATGCAACAAGGGCCAACTCCGTAAGGATCTCGACTGGATTCCGCCGGTAGCCGATGAAAAAAAGAAGCGTGGCCGTAAAAAGAAGCAGAACGAAAAGACCGTTTTAGGATCGTCGCAAGGAATCGTGGCCACGACGAGGGTTTCGGCCGCCGCGTACGGCGGCCAACTTGTTCAGGTTGGCCAACAGCAGCAGCAGCAGTACTCGAATCGTCATCAAAACAATCATCACCACCAACAACTCCAGCATCAACAATTAATCAACCAGGACCGAATGCGCAGTTCCTCAATCTCGTCCACAGGCTCGACGGGCTGTTCACCACCGATGACGCCTGACCAATTTGCATCGCCCATCCCGCGATCGCCAGTCAACCCGTTCTTTAATTCGTCTCGCTCAGGTAACTACGAAAAACTGAACCCCCATAGCCAGCAGGAAGTGCAACTATTCTCCAGACGTCAAGATTACTCGGCATTCAACTGTCTGCCCCGAACCAAGATTAATTCGTATATGATTAAGGTAGAGGATGACGATCGAAGCGATGACATTCGCACGTACATTCTGACAACGCTAGCACAGCAACGTACCACACGGTTACCTTGCTGTTTATGCCATTCTTCGCTCGAGATCTACGATCAGTTTCCGATCGTTGATGGCCTGATGTTCTTATCACCCCGACAACACTCGCCAGGCTCGGTGTCGATGGCTGCAGGCCGACGCGACATGAACGGTATCTCGCAAACGCAGTACCTAAACGCCGTTTGCATGACATGCCTAGACGGCGACTGGCAAACGCTACGATGTGTGTCCTGCCACCAGAAGTGGGCCGGCTCCCCACACATCATCGGCGGCCTGTATTGTTACGATGTCTTTGCGGCTCAACCTTGTTGTGAAGACCGCCTACGATGCAATCGCTGCGAGCAAATCATTATGACTTTAAGCGATCCTGAGAAGAAGTACTTCTTTAGCGATTACTCGCACAACGTCGCCTGTCCCAATTGTAGGTTAGTCGACTTTCATTTCGTCAAACCTCTTAACATTATGTACAACTTCAACTAGAGCTCATGTTAAAATTTTAGTTCACATTGATAATGATTTTATTATTGCCATCTTTACTAGAATATAACACGCAAAAGGAACAGCCATGATAGTGACCCCGTTAAATTGTCATTCAGTATGGTGAAAATAGACGAGACAGAAAAACGCGATAATAACAATAGCGTTGATAAGAGCAGCGTCGTGGAGGATGTCCAAGCCGACGCGGTCAATGTTAGTCGCTAAAAATTGCACCTACTATTGACGGTAATAGACAACTAAATGATGGCATATACTATCACGCCCGATATAAGGATTATACATAAAGCGATATAGGATCTTCACTTGAAACATGTCACGCCTTGAGGCGATTGTGGCATGGGTGCGCTGACCCAACAATAGTATATACATAAATATATATTAGTTACTCCGGTGCCCCGGCGCAGTATACGGGCGCTTGGTCGGACCATAAGCTGAGCAAACAGAACAAGCCAAACCAATAGACCTATAGAAAGGCCGAAGAAAAACGATAAGGGCTGATGTTTTGTCGCATATTTATAGCGTCACTTGCGTATGATTGCCTGAAGCAGATGGCGTCGATAACGGAAAAATGAAATCTCTCTCTAGCCTATGGCGTTCGTTGGCCAGCGTAGTTGACACTTAAATGATCAAAAAGGCGCTCTATGCGAACTCTACGAAAACGCTGAGAGCGGCACCGAACTCGAAGTATATGATGAAGTCATGCGTTTCGATAGTTGAACCAGGGCCTAAACACCCCCGTTCAGGGTGAGGCCACAAGAACGTACATCACGGAACCTAGAACCACACACACACACACACACAAAGACGCGCATAGCCACACGGTATGTCTTCGCGGCGATTCTGCCTCGTCACGAAGCTACGACGACACTCGAAGATTATCTATACCAACAAACATGATTAATGAATAAAATGCAAGGAAAACATTATATA